AAGCCACCGGTCGTTGTTCTGTACAACGAAGGCTATCTAGGCTCACCAAACAAAACAGTGCGCATATACTAACGTCAAACTGAAATTCCTCTAAGATCTCAATTCGCAGACATGTGAGGTAACCTGCATTGGAACTTGGCATTGTGTTCGACAAATCTTCACAGATGAAAAGTTTTGAGTAGTAGACTTGAGTAAAACACTTGTATGTGCTTCACAGATTGGACTAAAGGAGTCGTTGACAGTAATGAAGGTAGGTCAGCGTATCCATTCTCTTCATTATTATTCCTTCAACATGCTCATTTAGTTGTCCCTCCCACCCACTATCAAGATATGCTGTTATTTCCCCGTTCCGATTGGTCATAGATGCCAAAAAGTATGGTGGTAGGTACCGTCACCTTCCGAGGGACTTTTCTAGGTTGCTTAACCATGTCATCATGCGCGAAGCATGCCGAGCTTTCTGTATCCACGATGTGCAGAAGAAGTACTAAAGCAATTTGTTCCATGGGTAGGGCCCTCACTCAGAGAGTTCAATGTGTAGGCACGTCTCTGTCCCTACACACGATGTCACCCCCATGTACGCTAATCATGGGCCCAGTTTTCGGTGGTACATGGGCAGATTGACAATTTTGGAGGGGTATCTCAAAGAAAGGAAATTAGGAGTGTGACGGTTCGTAGAAATACAAGTGATATCGTTAATGTTAATACTGCTGCTTCTTGATGTAACTTTTTATCAAGGTTCTTGCCAGTGTTGCTGTCAGTATTGTTTCTTCTTGTGCAGATTCTCCTTGGTAATCACTTACGATCCTTTTTTTTTTCTTACCCAATTTTCAAAAGAATAGGTTCTGGTCAGCGAGCATCAGCTGAGATCATAGCATTCGGAACCATGTCGATATGTGATGAAAAATCTTTCCTAAGTCTTCAGTGAGTACTACCGGTGAATTCTGAAACCACATGAGTTGTGATATGAAGCCAGTGCTTGGTTTTGTCAAAATTGTGTCATTGGATAAGATGGAATCAGTAACAAGTTAGTCTCACCTCCAGTACTGAAGGATTCCCTCGCCGAGCTCATATGTGAGGCTCATTCTTGTGGAGGTCGATGAGCTCAACTACAGTTGACCCAGTTATTTGCTCTGTTTTTTGCCAGGGAAGCCGTCAGTATGGAAGCTAATTGGTCTGCTTGCATCTTTGAAGGTCTCACATCAACATAAAGTTCGAAACAGACAACACAAGTTTCTCCTGGACTTTTTCATGGGACGTTGAGTGAAAAGGCTGCTTTCGAAAAAAACTGTCACGCTGATAGAACGTGGTTTATAAATTATGGATGGTATGGTTTTGTAAAAATCGTCAATGAAGTGATCCGGTTTTTTGGCATCATTCGCAGTCACAGTTGTACTAAAATCATTCAAACCCACTTCACCCCAAACGACTTGTTCTTTCGTACTTCGTGCTTTTTGGAAGGCGATTTGAAACGAATGCGATGGTCTATGGTTGATGAGAACATCTTCTTCATCGTCAGAGATGATTTATGTCGTCAAAGCCCCTCGCAAATGCACATACACTCTAATAAGCATTGGAAATCCCACAGAGATTTAATGAAATGGGACTGGTGTGGAAGGATGTGAAGCAAGGCTATAGCCATTCTGAAGCATGACTTGGAGTCCAGATTGAAGATGGATGTACCGTACAAAATTGGCTAGTTTCGCACATTTCCAGCTTCAGACAGTGATTGATGGAATTATGTCGAAGCACTCAGCGCTATAGGGAAAGGTGATGATATCAAACTATGATGAGGATTTACCTGTAAGAGTTGACCGGTCTCTGGTTCACCGTGCTACGTAGTCTACTCACCAGTATTAGCTCTCGACGAGCCAGTAAAAGCTTCGAGTCGAGAAGGTGACCGAAAATCATCTCAGGATATCAACTCTTCCAGGAAGCTTGGAAAGATTTGTTCAAGGATAGCTTCCGAGACATTATGGCCGGTCTGCTCTCCACAAATTTCTCTCTCAGTTCACCAAAGATAGAGAAATCAGCTTGACTAGACAATAATCATTTATGGTTCAAGTGCCCGATTCTTCCTCTTCATTTGCATGTGGTTCTGCGGCCTTTGTGCAGGTAATACAACCATTCTAAGATCAGCATGTCACTCAGGAGTAGGAAAGTTGATGCCTTTTGAGCTCTGCTTGTACCATCCTCATGAATGAGTTAAACTCAACATTACCTCATGAATTTCTAACAAACAGAGGTATGATGAAAAAAGGATATATGTTGTGAAAAGGTAGGGAGAGAAGACCGCATTTTGGTCCAAACGATGGCTCGAAGGGCATACATAGTTGGCAATAATCACCACAATTGAAGACTGTTTCGCGTTCTTGCGTGGCCTCGATTTGTCTAGGATTTGCCTCTTGTTCTGTCTTTGTCTATAGGGCTAGGGCGAAAAGAAGAGTGGCCTGCTAGGAGATGCTACCACCCGGCAAATGCATAGTCGTATTACCTTTATCTGTATCTCATGTTAAAGATGTCTAGTCGTGCTTGTCTCAGGTGTCGATTCTTTTAGATGGCTGTGAATGTCACAAACAGCCCATTTCGATCCAATTCATTGACTGAAAAACTATGCGCCGTTACAGAGCGCATTGAATCACTGGAAATTCCCTTTAGAACTAATCTTCTTTGGGAAACGCTCTTCTTAGAATGGCCATTTTACTCTTTGGTGTTGTGGAGCCATCACGCAGGTCCGAAACGGAGAGAGATGATGTAGTGACATTTACGCTATTGAATAGCAGCCGTCTATAGAAAATGATCATGACCAGTAGCGATTATGGGACGGTAGCCGGTACCAGAAGGCGAAAGGGTAGGGCCGCGCGCCAAACAACCTGCTCGATGATTAGCTATGTCATCCATGACCACTTCTTCTCAAAGTTTTCAGTGTTTGGAGAAGGTCGAAGGCTCATTAACAGGAAAATCCTGGTGTGGTGCAGTAGGGACGAAACTGTCGTGTCGCTGCGAAAGAGGTGCCGCGCGCGAAGGAATGTAGCAGAATGCAGCAGCAAGTAAGAAGTACAGGAGCAAAAGAGCTAACATTAGGATCTGTCAAAACAATAATGGCAAATCGATTGAGCTGTATGAAGAACGCTAGAACCGCAATAACGAGGAAAATGGTCCGCGACTGCCGCGCGCGGCGAATCGACTACACAAAATCGTTCCCACTGCCCGTCTCCCGAAAAATCCATCACTGGAAAGGAGAAATCATTTAAAAATTTGTTGTAAGATCTTGCTAGTGTTTGCTCACTCAAGGGGAAATCGGTGGCCCATAATCCAAGATCCACTTAGCCTATTTGCCAGGTATACGGGCGTCTGAAATTATGTGGCTCACATAGAAAATAAGAAGAACACCGGAATTCTCTCTAAAAGGTACTATGAAAGTCAATGTAAGTCGCCCTCCCAAATGTAGCTTTGTTCTTGGGTCACGAAGACATGCTCTAATACTCCCCACTACCATCTAACCATTAGAGCAGAGAATGCTATCTTCCGAGAGAGAATGGGAAGATATCATTCTCTGCCCTAATGGTCAGATGGTACTGATGGAATCCGACACGAAGTGATATTGGAACTGCTGTGAGTCTCAATATTTGCAACAGACACCATCTCAAGATAGCTCTTCTGCTTGGATCTGGTACTACAGTAATGTTTTTGACGTCAAGTCAACCCTCAAAGCTTTTCCCGTTGCCCATGAGGCCCTAAATCCTTACATAAGATCGAGATCGTATCGGAGGGTTATAACCGAATGTTCGTGAGTGCCATTTCAGAAAAGATTGGGACCATCAAACAAACTGAAACTTGTGCAACAACTTCTGTGTGAAGGACTGTCAAGAGCTTCCTCGTTTCTCTTCATTTAGGAATGTGAGAATTTTCAGGCAGCCGGATAATTGCCACCATGTTCATCGATGCAAAAATATTTTCTTATTCGATAGTTCCGAAGGTACTCTCGAGCAAACAAAGGAATTACATACTTACCAACACAAGTAGAACAGATCTAATGAGGTTTTGGTTCTCTTTTTCAATTCACCATTGCACTTTCGATAGTTTCAAACTACTACTGCGATGCCGAGAAGGTAGGAAATTCACCTTCCATTTGCAGAGGGCTTTCAAATTTTCCTGGAGCCTTGGTTACCTCATTGAGATTACCTCATCATTCACTTAACTTATAAATTAATGAAGTCAAGTTTCAAGGAGAAATTCCGATGGTATATTGATTCAAATAAAAGCATTCAAAAGGAGGAGATTCGATAAAGAAAGGTAGCCTGTTACAAAAAGTAATTACAGCTAATCTGCAATGATAGAAAACTTCAAAGGGAAGTAAAAGCTTGGATTTTCGTGCGAAACATACCGCTGATGGGTGAATTGCTCCAGGAGTGCACGAAAACGTTGGAACGGTTGTCTAGTGATTATTTCACCATCAAAGCACAATCCTTTTATTTGCTTTTTTAGTGGTCCAGATGGATTACCAGTAGAACGACCCATTTGAGCTGATCATGAAAATTTGTCCGAATGGACGACATTCCACTAGAACTGCAGTTTCCTAGTTCCAATCGAGAAAAGAAATTTACAATAGTACAAGAATCTCACAACAGCGGGAAAAATACTGAATTTTCAACCTCTTCAACTTCTGAACCGGGATATTTTTTTCGAAAAGTTTTGTTGCCCCTGTAGAGTAGACGAATGTCGTCAAAATGATCGAATTCTTTGAAGCAGAAGGTGACGATGTCGTTTGGACCGGTTCCTGTACTAAATGAAGTAGCAGTGGATTCCGGCCAAGGGAGGTGTTCGCAATGACGCTGCGGATGCATGTATGTGCTAGTTTTTCATAACGGTGGTCGTAGTCTGATGATTTGCAACAGATGGGGGCGTCAGACACTAGGCGTTGATGACGTTCCCTATATAAGGTGCCGGTCTTCCGATAGCAGGCGTCGCCAACTTTATCGGCCCCTTCTAGCAGTGCCTTCATGGATTTGGAGCAGCGAGTGAAGGCGTACCGATTTGTCGCCTATTCGGCGGTGACGTTTTCCGTTGTTGCTGTGTTGTCTGTCTGTGTCACACTGCCGATGGTCTACAATTATGTGCATAGTGTGAAAAATACAATGCACAACGAAGTACATTTTTGCAGGGTTCGTTTCTTATCTTGAATGTTGTCCATTTTTGATCAGACAACTTTAAAGTCGCGGAATTCATAGTAAAATGTTCAGGGATCTGCTAAAGATATACTCAGAGAAGTGAGCCATTTGAAGAATATTCCTACAGCCAACAGAACAGCCCGTCAGGCAGGATATGGCGATGCTGCTGTAATTGGTGAAACATCAACTGGTTGCGAAGCTTGCTGCTTACCAGGACCGCCCGGTCCAATGGGACCGCCAGGACGACCAGGTCGACCAGGAAAACCAGGAGTGCCGGGACTCCCTGGAGCACCTGGACGCCCTCCACAGCAGCCTTGCGAACCGATAACACCACCTCCGTGCCGTCCCTGTCCTCAAGGACCACCGGGACCTCCTGGAATGCAAGGGCCACCCGGTAATCCTGGTCCCAATGGAGCACCTGGCCTACCTGGACTTGATGGTGCCCAAGGTCCGCCAGGACCGAAAGGACCTCCCGGCCCATCAGGAAATCCTGGTGCACCAGGAAATCCTGGTCTTCCTGGTGAAGACGCTGCATCAGGAGGGATTATTCCTGGAGAGCCAGGGCCACCTGGACCCCCAGGACCTCAAGGGCCTCCAGGACCGGACGGTCTTCCAGGTTCACCCGGAGCACCAGGTTAGCTAGTTTTTGTTATAAGTTAAATTTCACTAGCTTCTATCTTGAATTCTAGGGCAAATCGGACCAAAAGGTCCCAACGGACCAGATGGGGAGCCTGGGCAGCCTGGAAATCCTGGAGCACCTGGACCACAAGGAAGACCAGGACCGCCAGGCGAGCAAGGAATCTGCCCCAAATATTGTGCTATCGATGGTGGAGTATTCTTCGAGGATGGCACACGCCGCTGAGGTGTTAGTAGTCTGCGAAATCAGTGCAGTCAGTTCTATTTGTCGACACTCAAAAATAAACATGAATTTCGATCTGATTGCTTGGGGTGTGATATCGACGAGTAAGTGTAATAGAAGATGAAGAATGTGGTAGGAGTGATGAAACTGGTGAGCCAATAAGGTACGATATTTCGGCATCCCTCCCTTAGAAAGAAGTTTGGAGAACATCACATCAGTGTTTGGAATGATTATGAGTTATATCTGCAATTTTTCAAGGACATTATTCACTCAAGTTGCTCAGTTCAGCATGTAGATGATGTCACAAATTTTCCTAGATATAGTTCCCTAAACATTAACATGACCGTCAAGAAAAGAATGAGTAAGGATCAAGATTGATCCTAGGATGGATTTGGGGACTGAGTGTAGCAATGGGTCATCTAAAAAGCAGTTTTTTTCTCGAAAACCATCACAAAATCATATTGTGGAATATCGTTGGAGAAGCTAGGACTATTCCAGGAAGCTCATTACAACGCCTCCTTTTCAACACTGAAACAGAAAAAGGCGTTCACTAAAAAGTTTCTAAGCATATTATCATCCCTTAGGCGGAAGTTGTGTTGAGGCAAGTGGCGCACTTCACACACATGATCACGGGTTCGAATCCGGGATCGATATCCGTCTGGGCCAACGTGGCCTTCCATACCTCCGGGGTCGGTTAAATGGTACCAGACCCGTCTGGTAGGATAAAAGCACTAACGTTTACATCGGCTGGCCACCGCAAGTCATTACATAGGCCACATACGCACTCATTACGCCACAACGATTCTGAATGGAAGTCGAGTGCGTGGGCGCATCCCTCAAAGTGATTGATTAACGCCGAAAACTTTACCCTTCATCCTTTATTATCACCCCTTTGGAAACTAGAGAAATAGGTCGCAAGTTTCCTACAGTTTTCTAGCCAACCATTAACTTAATAGAGCATGAGAAGGAAAAATGATTTAAACGTTGTGGGAGTCCAGATTCTATACTTGTTCTTGTTTCATTCTAGATGTTGACTCTTTATGTTTATCTTGCTGTGGGAACGACAACAGCTCATGTTCATTTTAAAGACACAACTCAGTTAAAAATCATTTCTGAGCTTCCCTGATAAGATGAATTCTAGATACCTCCTATACCATATCTGGCGCTATTAGGCCGAGAAACGGCCTAGTTAGGCAGTTATAAAGGCTCAAAGATTGGCCTGTGTGTATCCTCGGACGAGCTTCACCGGTATTGTAGAGGCTGCACCGATCATAAGGGAACCCATGTAGAAAGTTCAAACAACGTGTTGCGACCCATAGTGACAGTGAAAAGCAGTTTTGTACAGTTCTGGCATGATGTAGTCGGCTCTTTGTGCAATTACAACAGCTAAAATCTTGCCCGAATACTCCTTTCATGTGAATACAGTCATGGTAATTTCGACCAGCCTTCTTTCTCCCTACTTTTAAGGAGACTTGTTTCAATCAAAATCGACGAATTTTCTTGCTATCTTCACTACTGATGGATTATTCCCAACTTATACTTCTACTTTTTGAATAACAGGGGTACTTCAAAATTATCGTTATTTGTGCCTTTATGCATTCCTTGTCTTGTTAGGCTGGCGAAACACAAAACGTGAGGCCTCTAAGAAAAGGGACATAACAGTTATCTATTTGATGACTGATGTGACTACAATGGCACNATTTTCTCGCTATCTTCACTACTGATGGATTATTCCCAACTTATACTTCTACTTTTTGAATAACAGGGGTACTTCAAAATTATCGTTATTTGTGCCTTTATGCATTCCTTGTCTTCGCCTCTCTGAGCACTAGCAGAACAAAATGATAAGCTGAGACTAGTTGGCCACGCAGTAAACCCTCCTTTGTCCCTCGTTCACTCCCTTCATAGTTTTGTGGCCGAAAAAAAGTACTTTCAAGTTACAAAGTTGATGCACAAGGCTTTCTCAGCTATCTGCCTTCACATTTGAATGGAAAATGTCCAATATAATCGCTGTGGTTCGCAACCACTTGGCCGATTGAATGTTAGGCTGGCGAAACACAAAACGTGAGGCCTCTAAGAAAAGGGACATAACAGTTATCTATTTGATGACTGATGTGACTACAATGGCACGAGAATAGACCTACCAATGGGGCTCGTGCAACAGAGGGCTATTATTGTAAGCTACATGAAGAGATCTTGTAAGCAGGGTTGTGAGAGAAAAAAGTTTATTTGCTGTGATGCCAAGAATACGGCACTGAAACCGGTTCTCGAACAAGGGTCATGATTATTATGAGTCGCGAATATGGATGGTTTTTCCAGATCAACGAGCGTGTTAATGACGAAGATAAGAAGGGAAATGCCAGAGACTAAGCTCCATTGGTGACATATAAAAGACTTCACTGTTTGAGTCTGGCACCGCGAGCCAACTCATTTTCTGCAGGGTTGGAGTCATGGAAATAGAGCAACGAGTCAAGGCCTATCGCTTTGTCGCCTACTCAGCGGTCAGTTTCATGGTTGTCGCCGTCTTGTCCGTTTGTATAACACTGCCGATGATCTACAACTATGCGCACAGTGTGATATATAAGATGAACAAAGAAGCGCTATTGTGCAAGGTTTGTTTGAAAATTGAGTTGCATTCAAAGAGCCGATTTCACTCCCAAAGCCATTCCAGAAATCCGCAAACGATATTGTGAAGGAGGTCGGCTACATGACGGTACCAACAGGCAACAGGACAGCACGTGCAGTATCAAAGAAGGATGCGGAGGAGGCTGCAGCGACTCCAGATTGCAGTGCGTGTTGCGTGCCAGGACCGCCTGGTCCAATGGGACCGCCTGGACGTCCAGGTCGTCCTGGTAATCCGGGGGCACCTGGAGTTCCTGGGGTTCCCGGACGTCCACCACCAGAACAGCCTTGCGAACAAATTACTCCACCTCCGTGCCGCCCATGCCCTCCAGGAACGGCAGGACCTCCTGGAATGATGGGGCCTCCAGGAGATGCGGGACCAAATGGCTCTCCTGGCCTTCCTGGACCTGATGGTCCTCCTGGTCTTCCCGGACTACCGGGTCCACCTGGACTGAATGGAGCTCTTGGACAACCCGGCTCCCCTGGCCGTCCTGGCGAAGATGCGGCATCCGAAGGTGTTGCCCCCGGAGAGCCGGGACAGCCTGGGCCTCCTGGGCCACCTGGACCGCCAGGTGGAATGGGTTCGCCAGGATCATCTGGATCACCAGGTATGTCGTGGTGTAGCCTTTAGCACTTGTTTACGGCTAGCGATTTTCTACCGTTACTACAGGCTTAATGGGACCCAAAGGGCCGCCTGGACCGAATGGAGAGCCTGGCGAGGATGGACGTCCTGGAATGCCTGGCCCACCTGGAATGCCTGGAACCCCTGGAGAACGAGGCATCTGTCCAAAATATTGTGCAGTCGATGGTGGAACTTTCTTCGAAGATGGCACACGGAGATAAGAACAACGAGAAGTGAATCCTGTGGTGTAGACCTCCACTAATTTTTATATTAGATTATAGAAATAAAGTCATCTTTTGCTGCTCAGCAAAATCATAGGATATGATCTGATACAAAATCGAAAGATATCACTTGCTACAACCGCTGCTGGCATGTGTAACAAGAGATTCATTTTCAGAAACTTCCGTTACGTAGAATAGATGATCAGAAGATCTCACTATCTCTTTCTTTGACCCAACTCAATCATTTTCTATTGATGTGGGTTTCAACGTTCGTAGGGGCCTCTGAAATCCGGTAGTATCGGAGACACCAGTTCATACAAAAAAGCGAACCAAATGTCGTTGTATAATACTATTGACCAGAACTAATTAAAAGGCTCTTATTATCACTCAAAGGTAATCTTTACAACCATGTATAAGTCTTCGCAGCTGGAACACAGCGTTTTGAAGGGACAACACGCAAATAAGGGACGCTACCGGGCTGCTCGGTGCATTCGTTGACAGGAACGTCAGTTGAACTGATGCCGAAGACAAGATTAGACGGTTCTGTTGCTGTTGGATGGAACCACCATGACGATGACTATGAACCTAGTCTCACAACTTTGAAGAAAATAAATGTGATAAATACTTTTCCGGTCCATCACTGACTAAACTGTAAAAGTTATGCAGATTTTTTGTGTTGGATCGAGGTATGAGCAGTGAAGTCAAGTGCCATCTGGTGTTTCAGCCCCTCATACTAATTGTATTAGGCAGGGTATGGGGCTGATCCTTGTTCCTTGTCACCTGTGGTGACCATTGGTCAGGCCTTGAAGGATTCGATATGTCTGTGGAGAGGAAATATTTGAACATCGAATATTTCAGCATTATGTGTGTGGGGCAACTGTCTTGCTTTGTTTTATCAATATTGAATGAAGTTTGGAGGCTGTCTGGTGTTATCATCCGATTTATTCATTGATAATTATGAGCCGTACTACCTCCAACAGATACGACAAGCCTTAGTAATAGTTGTAGCGAAGCGTTTATCTGGACAATGACCAAAAGTTCAAAGGAAAGACCCTCTCGGAGATGAAACGCCCAGCTTCAATGGAAAGAAGGATAGAAGGCTTTATAATTCATATAAATTCCACATAGTCTAGCTCCCCAAGACCCGGGTAGATGACGAGGTCATTTTAACTTCTCAGAGTTGAACCGCTCGATAGCTTCTCTTCGATCCTACAACACTCAATAATAAGCAGCATAGCATTACCTAGGGAGCACTACCTACCGAATAACACCAAAGAGCTCCGGCACAGGCATTCATGACAGAAAAGAACCTTACCGTGCAACAGACGGGACTATATAATTGGAGAGATGACCTATATCAAGCAACTCCATACGAAACTAATTGCTTAGTGTAGGAAGCTCAGATCACCCGTGAACTCGCAAATTTCATGCTCAAGGGTCGTGTGCCACAACCGTCATAGTATCATCCTATTGCTCCCTCCTCTACAAATTATAAGTTGGCAAGAGAGTTCTGCTACAAAGTGGAAGTCATTTCGGGGTCAATCCCAGAAATTCCAAGTTGGTCTAATATTATAAACAAATTCACCGGAAAGTCCAAAAATCTACCATTTATGTCATAGTCAGGATTTCTCCTGGACATTTCTGAGTGATCTTCTAGGAAGCCCTGTGTCATTTTTTAACAGTCTGGCTATCCATAAAGAGTTTAATGTTGTATGGCGGGCTTCAAAACGAGCTTTCTTCTCATAGCTTGGCTTTTTCAATACCGCTTTATACTACAGAGTGAGGGAAATTATGGAGACAAGCGCGGAAGCGGATCCTTCAACTACCGGGTTTCTTCGTTTTGGTTTTTTGTCTTCGTTTGTTCTTCTAAGACCACCTCTAACAACCATCGCAAAAAGTATGGATTTTCCCTGGCTTACTTTGTTTCCATAAATTTGCCCTGAGCGAATGTCAACAAGAACAAGTGCTATTTCACAACCCATTTTTCACTTATTGTTAGCAGCTTATGAAATCAGTCTGATGACCTGGCTGTTTTGCCTCTCGCACGACCTCTACGGTTTACAGCATGCGTTGGGAGGGAACCGCGCTCCAGGCCCACTCGCAGTCGATCTCAACGCGAAAGGCAGAAATCGCCGGAAGCGCGGGAATTTAGTTGTAAGCATAACATTTCGCTGCGTATCTACTCCAGTCAGTCGTCTGTAAGCATTCGTCGTGCGAGGCTGGTGGATCGTCGCGTGCTCCCCTTTTTCCGTCCCGTGGGTTCTTCCCGTAACCGTCGATCATCGTCTCTCGGCTCATCTCCTCTTCTCACCACCTCTCGTCTCCTATCCAGGTTAGTAATCGC